GCTTGTTTTACAACGTCGTTGCCAAGCGACGAAAACCCAATCCCGATGGCAAACACCGGGGGGGGCGGCTTGTTTTACAACGTCGTTGCCAAGCGACGAAAACCCAACCCCGATGGCAATCACCGGGGCGGGCGGGGGGGGGGGGATTGAATACCGATTCAGTTTTATGGAGATGGCTTTCCGCACCTGTGTTGTTGGTCGCTCAATTCGCTGACTCGCTGCCCAGGGATAATATCGGGAAATGTGTTTTTTCTGTGGCGATAACCCAGCAATATTCGCACGCGAGAAAGACTTCGTCTTTGACGTAACTTGACAAACGGACTCTTCATTCTGCGGTTTAACTCAAGCTTGCCCGTAGAAGCAATCGTGGGGAGAAGTTGGTGCAAAGGGAAACGCTGAGTATGGTATGTACATGCTCGTATGTGTATGCACCTCTCCAGTATCGACAGCAAACATGGATGTCTTACCGCTAGTCGCTCGCTCATTCCTCTGCAATCGCAGGGAAACGTTTGCTTTCATCCCATCATGGTCGAGAAGAAGAGGGTCGCTGTGATCGGCGGGGGCTTCAGCGGAATTGCCGCCGCGAAATCCTTCGCTGAACGCGGTCACGAAGTCCACGGATTCGAGCGAGGCCCTGCCTTCGGCGGTGTGTGGGAGTTGTCACGGACTTACCCCGACTGCCAGACGCAGTCTCCGAAAGACCTCTACCACTTCACCGACCAAACGTACGGCGAAAGCGTGCCGGAATGGCCGAAGGCACCAGACGTTAACGCCTACCTCCACTCCTACGCCGAAAAGCACGGCGTTGCGCGTCTGTTTAGGCTCAACACGAGCGTCGAGGCGATGGAACGCAGAGCCGACAGTCAGGCCGGCTGGACCCTGACGCTTCAAGAAGATGGGTGCACCAAGCAGGAAGACTTCGATTTCGTCAGCGTTGCGACAGGCCAGTTCTCCCAGAAGTACGTCGCGACCCATCCGGGAGAGCTGGAGTTCACCACGCAGGGCGGAGAGGTCATCCATTCGTCGGACTACACCGACCCGTCGACCATCAAGGGGAAGCGCGTTGTCGTTCTGGGTGGCTCGAAATCGGCCTTGGACATTGCCGTCAACGCCGCCAACAAAGAAGCGAAATCGGTCACCCTCGTCTACCGCAAAAACGTCTGGCGGCTGCCGTACTTCGTAGGCGGCGTAAACGTCAAGCACCTACTATACATGCGCGCCCAGGAGGAGCAGTTCAACGGCTGGCTGCCTTCGCCCATCGGGCGTGTGCTCAGGATGATCCTTAAGCCGCTGATATGGGCGAACTTCCGTGGCCTGGAGGCTGCGCTTACGTTTCAGCTGGGCCTGAAGAAGCACAGGATGGTTCCCGACGAACCGATCGAGGACATAATCTCGTGCTCGATCGGCGTCGCCACCCCCGGCTTCTTCGAAGCTTTGGACAAGGGCACGATCAAGGCAGTGCAAGGCTCGATCGAGCGCTACGAAGAAGGCGCTGCGGTCCTATCGAACGGTGACACGGTTCGGTGCGATGTCGCGGTGATGGCGACCGGGTGGAAACAAGGACTCTCGTTCCTGCCTGCCGAAGCGCAGCACGAGCTGGTCGATTCGGATGGCCTTTACCGTCTATACCGTTTCGCTGTGAACCCGAGTCTACCCGATGTCGGTTTCATCGGTTTCAACAGCAGCTTCTGCTCAGTGCTGTCTGCGGAACTGGTATCGCACTGGCTCGTGCGGTATGCGGACGGGCAACTCGAGCACCAGCCAAGCGCCGACGAGATGAACGCGAGTATCGACGTGATGCAGGAGTGGCGGCGCAAGGACAGGCCGGCCGCACAGGTGTACGGCGGCCTCTGCATCGCTCCGTTCCACTTCCGCCACTTTGACGAGCTGCTCAAAGATATTGGCGCGACGAAGCGGAAGCGCGCGAACCCGCTGGTCGAACTGTTTGTTCGCCCCAGCACGTCCGCTTACGGCGAGTTCCTTGCTTCAGCGCCGCAGTACCACGCAGGTTGAATTTCCAGCCATCCTGCCACACGCCTCACGTCCTGCTGTGCTGTGGGAAAGCAGCTGGCCCGAAGAGGTCTGAAGGGCTATTCTCAGCGACATTAATGACATGATCACGTTGTACTTCCTTGTAATACCATGGCAAAGTAAGTTCAACGTTGATGTTGCTGATGATGTTGTTGTCGTTTAGCCGTTGCTTTTGTTGTTGTTGCAGCTGCTGCTGCTGCTGTTGTTGTTGTTGTTGTTGTTGTTGTTGTCGTTGTCAAATTGAAGGAGACCATTCTGACCTGCCACAAGGAAACGTGGTGTCTAAGTGACCTTGGTGTGGTGGTCAGAAATCACTTTCTTTCGGAGAAGGTACGTGCCGAGCGATCGATGGCAGCACCGTGCGTTGTTCGTCAAATCGTTCAGCAAGTCGATCGACCCTGTATAGAATGACACGCCAGAACCAGCTGTTGCGAGTAGATTACAAATATGCTTTCAATCAGCACTGTGTTCCTGACCAAGTGGGCCCTCCCCTCTCTATCGGTGGTTGGTTTGGGTTATCCACCCGTCCTTGCGCTCTCTTCAACCCGTACCGTCCGTTGTGGTCAATGGTAAGAGCCTACCAGCAGATCTATGCAAGGGGTGCAACTCTCAACTTGCTTGCTAGTCGCAAGCGGCAGAAACGTAACACTCAACTTGCACCCTGTTATTTCCTTTCCTGTGTGGAATATCCAATACAGCCTGTTCAATATGGAAGTATTCGTTGGATTTTATGGAGGGTCTCGAATCGAGGTACGAACGGGGGTATTTGAATTGGTAAGATATGTAGGCCTCCTGTGGGGCCGCCGGTGGTCAAATGTGTCTCGCGATGGTCTTCCTATCATCAACCTAGACTGGCACGGGTTGATCCACTCCGGACCTGCTCCACACTACTTCTAATGAAAAATTCCAGAGCATGCCTACAAATTATCCCCAACAGTAGGCGACAATTCGCGTCGTCGTATGCGCCAGTACACTCTTCTTCGCTAATGAAAAATGTAGTTTGAATCTGGCAGGGATGCGTTATCTCCAGATCTACCGGCCTCGACTTCCCGCGAAGGTTCCGGAAGGGAGTTCACATAGACTACTCCAGTAGATAAGTATTCCAAGCACAGATTCGCGAAAGTTGTTCCTGCACTCACGTCACATTCGAATATTTTCGGTCGGTGTAATCACTCATGGTATGGCTGGCGCTTTGGGCTGCTCTACGCCGGAAACAACGACTGCTGTGGATGGGGGAATGGCTATCCTTCACATCATCTCGGCCGTGCGAATACCATTCTGGTACTTTCATGAGAGGTGTGCCCACCACCGACAGGAAGGAAAGCATACCCGCTGACCGTTTGCGGCTGCGCAACACAGACGCATGAAGCAAGACCGGAAAATGGTCATCACCACAATTTCTGGTTGAGGGTTACGTACTAGAGCTTCTCGCTACGTATGCATACCGTGTTGGTATCCTCACACAGTAGTCAGTTGGGACATGAGGTCACAGATGGCGGTCGATGAGCGCATGTGTATGCCTACATGCATTGCTTCACGTACTGTCGACAGTAGGTGTCAAGGGCTGGTTGCCCGTGGGGGAGGAATCTCGCTCCCCAATCATAATGCACTGAATGATGTACTGTCGCCAGCACGTGTTGGGTGAAACATGGGTGTTTTCATGGACGTTTTCGTCAAGTTCGTATTCCGTCGGCAATTAACACTACCTTCAACAAGAGCAAAACACGTAGGTCATCATCTGGACGGAACAACTCCCAAACAACGCGGTTCACCGTGCATGGCGAACTCGAGACGGTGTCTCTCATACTCAAAATACACAACGCGTTTTAACCCAAGGGCACACACACCCTGGACGCCACTGCACGCAACCTACAACGTGGTGCCACCTTTGCCACTAGCCATGTACATCTAAGTACTTCACGCCCCCCCCTTACCATGCAACCAAGTAAAAACTACGAGAGCGGTATGCAACGAAGGCTTTGGCAACATACATGAACTCATGTCACCAGACATTTCAGACTCGCAAACAAACACGAGATTCCGGAGTTTCGGATGTGGCACAACGCATGCTAACCTGTTCATCACTTCGCATGCTCGGCCTATCAAATCTTGACACAACACTGTGATCGTAGAAGAGGTTGTACAACACAGCAATCCCCGCAGAGCTCGTCTTAAGAAAAAAAAGTCAAAATTGCGCGTGAACCTGAGCGGAACACGCCTCGGCTAAACAACAAACAACACCAAGCACATATATCGCCAAAACACATCCCAAGAGTGACACGGATACCTCCGTACGCCGATATAGATAGCGGTGGCAGAACAAAAAGCCGAAGGAATCGAAGATAAGTTTAATCGTCGACACTCAGCATTGCAATGCATACGGTACAGAAGTAAATAACAACCGAAAACTAAGCATCAACTAAACACGCTTCACACCAGCATCTGCGATCGCGAGACAAGGCCGAACAATACGGTAGGTAGAACTTCCCAAATTCGTTTTTCCATCCTCTCGGATCAGACGGACGCAATAAAACACATTTGCATCAGACACACACACTTGATCACACTTGATCTATCACATCAAGATAATCCAAGCGACGAAAGTCTACAAAAGCAAACAATTTAGCCGAGGATGTCCGCCGGGTTGACCAGCTCCTGCGCCAACATGCCGGCGATTCCGATCATTGCCAAACGGCCGTTGTTCAGCTCCTTGGTCTTCANGCCGGGTTGACCAGCTCCTGCGCCAACATGCCGGCGATGCCGATCATGGCCAAACGGCCGTTGTTCAGCTCCTTGGTCTTCATCACGTCCAGAGCCGCCTCGTCGTCGGGCTTGAGGTTGAGGGGGTCGAAGCCGAGGTCTCCCGGGATGTAGTCCTCCTTCAGGCCGCCCTCGCCGGTGACAGCGCTGGGGGTGTCGAAGGCGGTCATGATGGTGTTGTACTCGATGAAGGCCATGCCCAGGAGGGAGAACGCCCAGAACTGAGGTTGGGGAGACACGGGAATGACGGGTAGCGAGACACAAGAGAGGTGATGGTTGTGTGAACAAACAGTACTCGTCGACCACACGGTGTAGAGAGAAGGGTGGCATCGTTGACAAAACAGCATCCACGTTGTGCCACGAGGGACAACACCCGAGTAGGTACTGCGGAAGAAGGGCACTTCACGAGTCGAACAACCTGCGGAAGCCTTAGCTACCGCAACGTACAACTGGTTGGTCAACCAACTTAGATCAGCACGGCGGCAGAAACACAATGGAATAAACATTGTTTATCAAAGTGTGCAGATGGTGCTTTACTGTGGTGTGGATCATACCACCCTTCGCCTCGTTTTCGGTGTTAGAAGGGGAGGATAGGAAATTAGTTGCTGGAATCACGTGTGTACCTTCTCCAGCAACGGTCGGTCTACAAGTGAATTGAGTGTTTGACCCGAGTCGCTCGAAAAAATGGTCGAATCCAACTTTTTAGTGGCCTTCACATCAAATGTGTTCCCCCGAACACCCAGTCTCACCTCAGGGAACTGCGCGCTGATCTCCTGGAAGTGGTCCACGGCGGGGCCAATGTAGTCGGGGCCCATGAAGAATGGGTGGTATTGCTGGAGTGGGTAGAGGGGACAGAAACGAGAGCGAGTACAACGGGATGCGGCGGGACGAAAAGCATGAGCAACTCCAAAAACTTGGACTATCTCTGTCTACAGCAGGATTCTATTCTTGGAAACCATTACAACAACACGCCACCGCACCATGTATGTGTTTATCGTATGCCATCATGTTCACGCTCATGCTTGCCTCACCTCTGCGACGATAACACCAAGAGACGCAAGCATGGCAACACGCCCGTGCTTGATCTCGGCCTCGCGCCACTTCTTGATGTCCCCGGGGGCGGCGCCGTCGGATAGGCCCAGGGGGTCGAAGATCTGAGGCACGACCGCGTTGGGCAGCGGTGATCAAAGAACGCAACGGGTGAGACAACTGGGTCAAGGTAGAATCTCACAGACAGATAAATAGCACCGCGAACGATTGATCTGTCGATCCACAGTCTCTACGGTTGTGGAGATGATAATCCTTGGATAGGGAAATGACAACTAATTGAGTGTGTGTTCGCCCAGGTGTTGTATCCACATGGCTACAGAAACACACGAAGTTCTTGAGCCTTTTCTGTCGATGTCATTGATGTATACCACCACACCACTATTTTACATGTTCGTTTGGCACGTGCACGTCCATGAAATACTTGTGTATCCTATGCATACAACAGATTGAGCGAGCCTTCGGAACATGGTCAAGCCTCCGAGAGAAAGTGTCCTGAGGGCACTGCTGTAAACGTACACAGTCATCTATTGTGGAGCAATGCTATATAGTAATCCACCGTGGGTGTGCGTGTTGGCTCACGTCATCACACACACATGGTTATCACCTTTCCGTCAGAGAAGGGGGCTCCTGGCAGGGTCGCGACGTAGTCCGATCCAGCGCTCATCTTGAGGCTCAAGGAGGAAGCAGAAGTGGAAACAGATCGCACGGCCATCGGTGCGACGAAGGCAGTCGAGGAGGCGATGAGGGTGGCGGCAGTGCCGAGGAACATCTGGGAGGCGACCATCTTGCTTGGCAGGTGGAGTTTGTGTTGGAGATTGGTTGTTGAAAGTGAGGATGAGGGTGTGTTGTGGTGTGTTGTGAGAGGATGGGAAGAGGTCGTGGGGGTGGGACGATGCGGCGAGATTGTGCGTATGAGCAAGAAGGGAATTGTGACGCGCCTCAACCCTCAGGCACGTACGTGCCCATCCACGTGTGTCGACCACGTCAGTCGCTGTCACGAGGGCGGCAATTTCACAGCCCGCAGACCGGGTGGGGATGAGATTGAGTTGCAGTAGTTAGGGCTGGGTCTCCTCGTCATTCCCTATCCCATATATCGCATGGTGCTGTGGTTGGCTCGCGTACAGGGTGTCTTTTCAGCAACACGATCTTATTTGGGCCAAGGGACCGGGCTACCGGGCTTGTTTCCTCTGCGGGGTATTTATTTCAAATTTGAAACCTCGAAGATGATTGGCTGAGCAAGCGGCAGCATTATAACTTGTTTTTCAAAGTGCGTCATGATTCTCTGTTCGTTCGTCGTGCGTGTTGCATCCGCAGTTGGCAACGACTCATCTCGCCGCATCATCGCCACCCCACGCCTGTCCCCCATCCTCTCACAACACACCACAACACACCCTCATCCCAACTTTCAACAACCAATCTCGAACATAAACTCCACCTACCAAGCAAGATGGTCGCCTCCCAGATGTTCCTCGGCACTGCCGCCACCCTCATCGCCTCCTCGACTGCCTTCGTCGCACCGATGGCCGTGCGATCTGTTTCCACTACTGCTTCCTCCTCGAACCTCAAGATGAGCGCTGGTTCGGACTACGTCGCGACCCTGCCAGGAGCTCCCTTCTCTGACGGAAAGGTGGGGACGTGTGTGTGATGACATGAGCCAATACCCAAGAAAGTATTTTGTATGCATAAGTAGTCTAGGCTGCCACAGCAGTACCCTCGGGACGATCGGCTCTCCGCAACGTGTATCCATGTACACTGCTGTAGTCTGTGCATATCCGTATCCGAAGGCTCGTTCGCTCTATTGTTGTTATTGTTGTTGTCTTCACATTAAAAAACATCCCGGTCTCTCTATCCAGTACCTCCTTCTGTCTCAATCTCTCCGTACTAATCCATCACTTGACTCGGCCAATTTCCGTGGTCACAGGCTAACGTACCTAGAAAAGGTATACCAAAATAAAATGGACCCCAAGGGTCAGCAGAGCGATAAAATACAAGAAAACAAA